TTTTATATATATACATACACATACATACAATATTACTTAAAATTTGTATGTATATAAACTATTATATATATGCAACACAATATTTTGGTTTGCATATTTTTTTTCAAAATTCTGCTCATGTCACTGTTATTTCTCAGTCTGGCAGCTGTCAATATTTGTCCAAAATTTTATTTCATGACATTGGTTTTTTTCAACACCAGGATTGCATCAAGAAATAAATATCTTAGTATATTTAAAACACCTTTTTTACAAGTTATAACAAACACCTTTGTTTTTCTGCCAAATGAGCTGTTCTCTCGCTGTTAACCTATTGGTGTTTTTTTTAAGAGTAGTGCAGAAATAGTAGACATCCAGGAAACAGCTACACTCCACAGAAGTGAAGCAAATTTGCCAAAAAAAAAGATTAGAATGTTAGTCATGATGTCAGACACCAAGATTTTTAGCACTTGGTTCCTTTGCCTACTGCTAGATTCCTGGAAATTGTTTATATGGAATCTGTATTTTGCTGTGAGGTTTTGGTATCATTTTCAGTAAGCATACAAAAACTGGTGGGATATACTGGTATTCTGGTATTGAGATATTTAATCTAGTCAGCATGTGTAACTTAAGGGAAGAGGAGACTTTTTTTTTTTTTTTTGAAGCCCTGGAGACAGTCTCACAGTTTAATTTCCTCTCCCTAAGTATCCATATGCTTTTGCAAACATCCTAATTTTGGTATTATAATTTAGATTCCAGGAGCAGCTCCGTGGGTCCATCCTACCAGACCTTTACCTGTTGTCACCTCAGTAAAACCTTCGTCTTCTCTTCTGCCAAGCATGGATGGTGGTGGAGATGAATAGGTTGGTGCACGTGCTGGCACCAAAACTTCCAGAAGAGGAAGTGTTGTCGTGTCTCAACCTGCTGGGATCTCCACCAGGTATAAAAGCATTAGAGCTGCCTCTGAGGTTACAGGTCAGGGAAGGAGACAGGTGAAACACAAATTAGGTGCAGGGCTCAAACAGGGTTGCCAAAGTAAAGTAAGGGTTGCTACTGAAGTACCCTCTGGCCAGTCCTTAACCTGGGCTACTAATGTCCCGTGGCATTATTTTCAGCTTATGGTCAGGCAGGGACAGCTCCTGCAATGCAGACAGTGGATTTCACCCCCACTAGAGGAATGTTGTAACCCTCTAACCCTTTCGGAGTCTCGTGTTTCTCCTGAATGAAGTAAGGATGGGGCATGTCTTCGCAGGAAGCCCAGAACCGCAACACACCAGAAAGGGAAACAAATGGCACCTTCCCATTAGCCCTTGATGGGGGAGATCATCACCAGTTAAAAGGCAGTGGAGCCACCACTGCAGGATACTATTGCTTATTTGAACAAACAAACAAACCCCAACATTTTATTTTAATTAGTATTAAAGATGTCATGAGCCCTACATGTCTATTTCTGATTTGAACTGGTGTCAGCCAACGCAGTAAATATTAAGACTAATCTCAACAACTGTGCATTTTAAGGTTTACTTGCAAAGATAAAATATCTGTGGAGGGGGGTAGAAGTGAAAAAGAAATGTGAGCTATTGACCACAAAAAGCAACCTAGGAAGTTATATTAATTCAGATAACATAGTGTATCACCATCTTGAATTTGCATTTGTAGGTTTTGCAGCTTTTCCCAGCCTTAATTAGAATTTAAAAACATTTAAAGACATTTGTTGATGTAATGTGATTTTAGACCTCTGACGTCACAGACTCCTGTGTCATGTATTACAAGTACTTTATCAGAGATTTTTTTTTTTTTTTAGATGCACTTGTTTATTGCTACTGTTAAAAAAGCCACCTTTATTTGTGTATCTTCATAGCTCAACCTTGCAACTGGGCTAGGGATAAACATTGCATCTTAAGGAGCCAGACACTACAGTTGCCATTTCAGAGTTTGCAGCATAAACCCTTTTTCAGAGCAGAAACAAGAGAATTTTAGCTTTTGATTCATTAGGGAAGAAAAAAAAAAAGTGTGTGTGTATATGCACATACATATGTATGTTCTTGTTTGGTTTTAAGCAAGTAGTTTACATCAAAAAATAATTAATGGAGGGCAGGAAATATTGTTAAAATTATTTCAGAAAAAATGATACTTCTATGTTACTCTACTAGTAGGCTTTTGCTCATGAAGCCATCGTTGCAACTTCTATACAAATATTCTAGTTCCAAGGTTTATTTTGTGAAGAAGTTTCTCATTCTCACTAACATTTTGTGAAAAGGATTTTTCTGTTTATTTGAATGAAAAATGCTGCATAACACACTCCAATGAGTAATCTAAAATAAGTACAGTGATACATTTTAGTTTGCTGAATATCTTGTTGCAAACCAAATTGTAGTGATAACATATGCCTGCATTACTTTGCTTAGGTTTAAAAATGTAGGTTTATTTACAGTAGAGAAAATACTTTGCTTCTTGTGTAATGTATCAGCATGACCAGAAAAGATTTGCTTCCAGTAACAAAAAGCTAAAAATCTATTAGGTGGATAAACACACGGATGAAGACATGAACATATAAAAAAATTAAAGGCTATCAATAAGGTTGTAAATTGCTGTTTTCAAGTTGCCATTATGTTTGCTGTGATAACAATAATAATAATAATCAGGAATAACAGAAACTTTAAAAATAGTTTAAGTCCAGTTTTAAATCTGAAATTGACTTTTAAATATCTACTTTTAATTTTAAATCTGTTTTTTTCTGAGCAGAAAGCTTTGTTGATATGTGCTGATAGCAATCATCATGAAGAGCCTGCTTCATGTCACTAACAAAAATTAACACTAGGAAATTATTTAGGATAGTAGGATGCTAAGAAATAAGCTAACATAAAATTTCTGTTCAAGATACTAGGAAATTTTAAAATTAATTTTTTATTAAACAGAAATTTTGGGCGATTCTACAATCTTTATTCCTGCAGACAAATTGCTTTTATGTAGGCTTGATTCTGCAAATATTCTTGTAAGTTTAGTGCATGTGAGATACCAGAATAAAAATAAAATATGACTGCTCATATAAGAAAACTTCTACCATTTGCCAACAATAATGCATGAAGACCTCTAATTCTAAAACTAATTTAGAGTTCTTTTCATTTACTTTCTAGTTATTAAACTACAAGGTCTAGTTGCTCTCAGTTTTTCCCTGCAACTATCTGATGCAGAAACTGGAATTAAAAGAACCCCAAACCACAATATATTCTCTGTATTCCATGTTCAGGAGCTGGTAATAATTTAGTGCTGAGGGAGGTGGATACCCTCAAGATTGCTCAAGTTACTCTTTGCAATATCACCACAGGTGCTCAGGAAGGTCCTGTTGTGGCAAAACTGACTGCTTGGGAGAGAGGAGAAGATGAAGCAGCTCATTTTAAACAGCAAATTACAAAAGCAAAAGTCATTGATGAAATTGTAAAGAAAAGAAAGTGAAGTACTCAGAAAACAAACAAACCAACCAACCAACCAGACAAGCCACTAGGCAGCGTTCACTTCCATGCCATTTTGTATTTTATGCATTAGAGCGGTTATCCTAGCAAGTGCTGCATCATTTGGTATGCAGAGCATTTGAAGATGCAAAGATAATTTAGGAAAGGGGACAAAAACCACACCACACAGACTTATCAACACATTGTACGTAGCTTTGCTTTTTTTTTTTTTCTTTCCCTTTTTAAACAGTGTTTAAGAAAAATATGCTGTGTTACCATAACAAACTAAAATACTCTCTCAGACTCTTAAGAGTTTAGTTTTTGTTTTCCCTTGTTTTGGTTCCAGGTAGGTTCTATTTGTTTTTGTTCTACTTTATAAAACCTTTTCTCAACATCAATGGCTTCAGGAAGAAGAAATAAGGGAGAATTATGAGCACAACAGAGAGCTAACAGTTGCGTGTGTTGTCACTTTCTCTTGTGCCACTTTATAGGTGGGTAAGGGTACAGAAGAAATAGGGCATAATGTTCTATAGAATACAGTCAGACAGGAATTCCAGCTGGCAATCACTAGAGCAAAAGGGGACATTTGCCTCATGTCAAATCATTGTTTAAATCCCCACCATACATAGCTATGGAATAATGGGGTCACTTATTTTCCACTACTTCAGTAAGATACTGCAGCAAGCTAATGATTTTACAAGACAGAAGGTTTAAAGCATCGATTTGCTGCAAATTGCTCAATCCATAACTAATGAGCAGCTCTACAGGTTTTCAGTAAATCAATCCCACTAGAATTTACAGTTTGCATAAGCTCCTATTACTCAACCTGTGGACGCAGAATGACTTTTTTTTTTTTTTTTTTTTGTAATCTTCAGCAGCCCCTTGCTGTTGCTGGTTTTTTAAACTCTCTTAAGTTTCTATGTGTGGGTTGGATAAAATCCCTATCTTGAGGGTTCTGACAGCATGCCTGAAAAATACACTGTCCACTTCTACACAGGCACACATGCATCCTGTGTCAAGTCACGTCCTAGATATTCCCTTGTAGGAGACAGTTAACATCCAAGAAGGCAGGACAAGACAACAAATGGAATTCAGTCTCTGTCACCTGTAGCACTAAAACTCTGTCCCAATTTGAAGCTGGATTATATTTTACACCTGTAAGAGTGTGAAGTCAAATGGGAACTGTTATTTGGACCCACACAGTAATTTTTCATAACAAGCTGAAATCTCTTCTGTATGAAAAAAATAGCAAAGGCAAAAACCCTCTATGGATTGAGTGACAGGACTTTTGTCACATATCTGTAGTACAGAAACAGGAAATGGAGAACTACGCTTGCTAACAGATCAAGTTCTAGATTACTTTATTACTGGTGATGCCAGTATGTTTGTACCATGTTTTCTCCTGGCTTTGTAAGAAAAGGGTCAGTTCTACCATTATCAATTCGTACAACAAGATCATTTTAGGCAAAACAGTTACAGGCAAGCAGAAGTTCAAATCCTGTCAATGAATTCATAGATTCTGAAAAAGCATTGTATTGGTTGTTACAAAAGAGCAATGTGGCTGAAGGGCTGTTAGTACGGGAGTGTTGAATCATCCCACTCCAACTGCTCTTGCCTGGTAGCATTCTGTTTGTCTCCCTTTTGGACCATCACTTCCTCTTCCTCCTCCTCCTCCTCCTCCTCCTCTTCACTTTCATCTGATTCAGCACTGGTTGTATCTTCCTCTTCATCTTCTAGGTCTTCTTCCTCACTCTCCTCTTCTGCCTGATGAGGCTTTTCATATTTCTACAGTACATTTAAAGAAATGAAAGAGAGAGAGTAGAAGAAAAATGCCTTCTTGCTAGCCAGTGGCTGTGAGAACGTGAGCATTTATTCCAAGTTTAGAAATGCTAACATGCTGGGAAAATCTGCTTTCCATTGTTATGTGACTATTAGGCATCAAATACAATACAATTCACTAGCAAATATTCAAAAACTACTCTAACAAGAATGGAATGTCAATAAGCAATATCTTGTTAGTCAAGATGCCAAAATTTAACCCTTCAATGTCCGTTTCTTTAAACTACTGATCATTTCACCTTCTTTTAGTGTATTAGTGCTTGCATTAAAAATTTAAAAAAAAAGTAACTAGATCGTCTTGGGTACCTAGAGTGCAAATATGGATGGAGAGGAAGTGGTGGTGGTGTACCCAAGAATCCTCCACCATCCTATTTAGCAAATATATATGACAAGAACTATTAAGAAGTGCTCAATTATATATTATCCTGGTGTGTGGAGCTGAAAACTGAGATGGGGTCCTGAGTGTACATGCATATAACTGTTCGGCAAAGCCTAAACAAGTGTACTCTCAAAGAGGATCAAAACTCCCTGCTGAGTAAGCTACCAGCCCAGACAGGAACTCCTGGTAGTATCATGATATAATACTATGCCTCCGTTATGTACCTCCATGGGGTTGACGGTAATAGTCAGAGCAGAATCATCCCAATCCATTTCATTTTCTTTACTTCCTTCATTGTCTCCAGAGCTGTGCCGATGAGCTGTCCGAATTCGGTAGACCCCCAAGGTTATGATGAAAATGAGTATGCTCACGCAGATTATGATAACAATAGTAGCCACACTTGGAACAACTGTAACAAAAGGTGGAAAAGGGAATAGGCTTATATTTGTGGAACAAATTGCCTGCAAAACACTCAACACATTGTTTTTTGCCCTCAGTACTACTTCATTTGGAGAACCAGCAGAACCATATGCCATCTACCTGGGACTACAGAAAGTGTTGACAAGTGCCCACCTACTAAGGCAGAGCATACACGAATGGCGTTTACAGATACTTTATAATGACCATTATAAATCATAACTAAAAAGTGAGTATGCCTACCATTTATTCTTTGATCCACTTTATTACAGAAGTAGTCAATCAGTGCAAAATCAGTTACTTTCAGAACAAATGTTTTTGCAATAAGGTTCAGTTATCTTACCTGCGTGTTGTCTCCCGATTACAGCTAAGGCGTTAACCTCACTTGTGAGAAAAAATATATCTCAAAGCTTATATTTTCAAAGGTTTCAAACACTTGTACTGTGATTTCAATCTCAATCTCCACGAAATAAAACAATACACTGACACTCTGTTTGCCTGTGTTACAACCTTCCTGGGAAACCCTTGAAGATTCAAGACATTTTTCCTCACTGTTCTGTTGATCTCTGAGAAGCCTCTGCCCTCCACCTAGTCACAGGAAGAAATCTCTCTCAACTACTCGTATATTATCAGGTCCATAATTAGGTTAGTGGAGAAGTGCTGCCACTTTCTATGTACCTTTGCTACCTAGGTACTGCAGTTCCAGGAGCTGCAGTACTTCTGTACCCCGTTTTATTGCCTTGCCCTGCCTGTAAGAATGGAACTCTGAAATCAGAACAATAATAAAGTGAAAAGAAAGAACTAGTTTGCAAAACTTCATGTTGTAAAAATTCAATTTCAAGTGTACAGAAAAATACAGTAATTTTCTAAGCATAATTGTATATAACTGTGTATATCTACTTAATACTACCTACACTTTACATCAGCTTTACTTCTTTACATACGTATCATTCAGCTAAAAGGATTTCAGAATTCAGCATTTAAACAGATATCTTTGTCCTGGGTTTAACTTCATTGAAAAGGCTTCAGATGACTTGAGATTTTAACTCTTATAGTCCAAACATTCAATTTAAATTCTATATTTAATATATACTAATGCCCCCTGTACATGGCTAAGTGGACCTATCTTCTCTCCAGAGAGCTCCAGACTGAGGCCTAGACAGCAGCTAACAGAACAACTGCAGCAATTATATATTTAAAAAATTAATACAAACATCTCTTCCTTTTGCTTAGAAAGGAGTGGGCAGAAATTAATATGCCACAGAAACACAGATGTACAAAGACAATGTGAGCATAAATATTATCCTTCATACTATTCAATACTAACCACAAGACATTTTCTTAATTATGTGGGTCAGAGTACATAATCTTTAATGAAGACTTTAAAACAGGACACCAGTTTGTAATGACAAAGTACCTCCTTGGAAAGAAAGAAGAGAATTCAATGTTACCTTCTTTCATACCTGTGCAATGATCTCTGTGAGGTTTTGCAACCTGTGACTATGGACTTCAGGGCTTTATTTGTTGGCCAAGCTGAATCGCAAGGGAAATGCCGACATACCAGAATCATTAGGAGCAGTCTCTGTACAGTTCTCACATACCTGAGTTGTGAACAGCACTTATGCTTCCCTCTGGGTGGTGGACAGATTGGAGAAATTGCGGTTGTACTATCATATGATTTACATGGTCCATGAAGTCAGAGTTGGAGCTGTGTAGAATATTAACCTGGCACAGGAGAAAAATAAGAGACCAGATACTACAGTGTGCCCTATATTCCAAGCCTGCTGGCTCCATACATTGCACTGAACCATGAAGTTCATCAGCAGATAGGAACACTATTATATAGATCTTAAAGGCCAAATTAACTTTTTTTATGCTAGTGAAAAATACACAGGTTAATGTATTTCTCATTTCTAGCACTAAAAATGCATTCTAACATTTCTAGCTGTAGACTGTCAAGTGGCACAGAATTGGATTTTTTTGATTTACCTGCCCAGATAAGCAGTGACTCTTCTTTCTCTGCACTGATCAGCTTTTAGGTGTTCCCTGACAGGTAGTGGGAGATTTGTCACTCTGAATATTGACAGAGAATGTATCAAACTCGTTGACATTAAACCCAAAACAGTAAGAGGTTTCAGTTTTTTCTGTGTCCCTACTTTCAGAGTGAATTTCTTTGAAGATACGACCAGTTCTCTGCCCTACCAATAATTATGTTATATGAAAAATCCTGCAGTCATTGTCAGGGTTGCAGAATGCTAAGGTGAAAAGAATTTTCAGTACAACATAAACGTGTAAAAACTTTCAGAACCAACTACTAAATTTTGAGCCTGTTACTAAGAAGGTCCTGCCCTTTTCCTGTGGTTACTTGGTACCTGGCTTCTAGGCTGATCCTTCAGCACTAATTCTCAGTCCTTGAGCCATTGTGCTGCACTGCACTTAGTAACAGCACACATAAGCTCAAGAGAGCTATCTAAATATTCTTGTGCAGACTGACCGTGTCTGAGCAGTGGATCCAAGAGAATGTGACAGATGAAGTCCATCCTGTGTGTTCATTACCTGTATACTGACTTTCCTCCTCAAATCTGAAATCAAGTAAAGTACCAGGAATGACCTCCATCTGATGAAGAACTAATGACAAAACTTATTGTAAGGAGGTAGTGCTTGGAAAAACTGAAAAGGTGAATGCTGCAGCAAAGAAAAGTATGTCACGTTAAGTTAAAAATAACTAATCTAAGGAAAACAATGAGGCTGTAATGATTTACTTTCAAGCAGGTGTATAGATCTTCACAAAGACCTGTAGGAAATTTTACATCATGGAAAAACAATGATGATGATCTTAGCCTCCATTCTGTTTGAACAGGAGTAATTCCCTGTGTTGACGGAGTTCAAGAGAAGGGTCATCTCCTTACATATGCAGCAGAATAGACAGTCCCACACAGAGGAATGCCCACAGGAAAAGTCAACTTCCTATTTTTTAGTGAACTTAGAATTTTTCCTCTATTTGATTATAGTTACTAGAACCTATCAATCATTTTACCTATTTTAAAGAAAACTCACTGTTGCTGAAGATAAGGCTAGCGCTCAGCCTCAGTGCTGGAAAACTTGACGCAATGATTGCTTACCTCCAAGTTAAATTCATTGCTGGTGTAACGTCCATTTAGCTCTGAGCACTTGACTCTGAATTTTCTGTCAAAGGTGGCAGAAGTGTACCAGTTACGATATCGAATCTGCCGAAGAACCTGTTCATAGCTGTGCATGCTGTCCACACCTGGAATAGTGGTAGAGTAGTTATGATCTCGAGGAGTTATTATGTAACAAATGCTCTGTGCAGTACAGGAGAAATCAAATATTCACAGATAATACAAAATTAGGCAGAATGATCTGAAAATGGCAGTGCGTCAAACATTCCCTGATAAAGCCTCTGGCTGATACTCAATTATGTGAGAATAGTTTTTGGAAATCATTGTAGGTCCTTAAGGGAAAGGAACACATACAACAGCAAAGATTTACAAGAAATTATTTAGTAATCGAAAAAAAGGCAAATGAGTTACCAACACCATACAGGAGCACTGAGGAATCCCCTCATTCCCATGTTCCACTGTGATGGTCAACAAGAACCCCCACATTTAAAGAAAGCAGTGTTGCTATCTATCTTCCTTATTTGGGGAGCAGCGGGAGGGATGCTGAGATCAAGACAAAGTGGTGCTATATTCCAAAAGATAAACACAGCCCATCCAGAGATCAAGAAGTGACTACGCTTTTTGAGACACAGTCTCTCCTGGAATATTTTATGGGTAGTACATCACAGATTTCTGGCTAACTTAATTAGTCCTTCCATTCCAATAATGTAATTGTTGGTGAGAAGAAATAATCATAGAATCATAGAATGGTTTAGGTTGGAAAGGACCTTAAAGACCATCAAGTTCCAACCCCCCTGCCATGGGCAGGGACACCTCCCACTAGACCAGGTTGCCCAAGGCCACGTCCAGCCTGGCCTTGAACACCTCCAGGGATGGGGCCTCAACAACCTCTCTGGGCAACCTGTGTCAGTACCTCACCACCCTCAAAGTGAAAAACTTCCTCCTAATGTTTAATCTAAACCTGCCCTCTTCCAGTTTATAGCCATTCCCCCTCGTCCTGTCACTACACGCCCTAGTAAAAAGTCCCTCCCCAGCTCTCCTGTAGGCCCCCTGTAGGTACTGGAAGGCTGCATAATAAGGAAATAAGGAAAAGCAAAGTCCATGAGCATACCATAGATGGAATATCCTGCTGTGGAATTTGTGGCATCTAGATGTTTTCCTTGAAGCTCCACATGATCTAGTTCTAAACACTCTTGTTCAGGATCTAGTTCTGCGCCAATGACCAAAATATCACAGAAATCTAAGTTGTGGAGCATTTCCTCTAATACCGCTGGCTTATTGCCTGTGAATACATGACATATACCATGAAAAAAAGAAGAAAGAAACGAAGATAAATGATCACAGAACAGCTCAGTCATTTGATGTGCTTTGCATCAGGGCTTTCAATTTTTGCAAAGACGGCTGAATTGTTTTTGCCAATATTAAATACAACACACTTGAAGCGAATCAAAAGAGAAGTGTCTTGCCTTATGCTATGATGATGAAGGCCTACAAATACCTAGTGAGATAGATGATAGATAGAAAATACGTTGCTCTGTAATAAAAGGCATTCCAGAACAGTACTGGAAGTAGAAAACCAAAATTTGATCCTGGAAATAAACTCATGTAAACAATTCTGTTTTTCAATACTGTATTGACACCAGGTTGGTATCACACATTCATTCTTTTCTCAAGGAAAACTGAACTGGAAAAATACATGTCAAATATATCTATGCTCGGCTGATTCTCTCAGTCACTCTATGGCTCATAAACAATTTGCATTACAAAGAACACGGCCATCTATCCAAGAACATGGTATTACCATAAATGGCAAGACACTGTGCTGTGTGACTCGGAGAAATTGAGATGTAAACTGACTATCCTTCAGTACATACAGTCAAAAATAAAAATTCTGTCACTGGAAAAAGAGTAGCATATTGGTTCAATATTTAATTCTCTGGTCAACTTTGCACAGTGTCTGGCAAGACTGCTTAACCAGCTCCCTGAGGGTACCGCAGGCACAGAGACCGCAATCTTGGACCTTAGTGCAAATTTCATTTTAGAGGGTGTATCGGGAAGGAAGGCATAGACAGAAAAAACTTATGCCCTAGATTCCCAACTCCCAGTACAGTGAATTTGGATAGCTGAACTCTAGGTACAAGTTTAACTTATCAAAAAATGCAGACCCAACTCAAATTTGCAGGATAGGCAAATCTGAATATTGCTATGGCTGATGAGTTGGACTACTTCATGGGAAGCTGTAAGAGACAGACAAGAGCTGGGTTGCAGAGCGAGGGAAAAGCCTGAACTGGTTAGCTTTGCTGCTCTGGCTGTCAGTGGGCAAACAGGGGAGGTAGGGGAAGCAATTTTAGCTATCGGTGGGATCCCACTGATTTCTCTACTGAGGCAGGACAAGCAGCAACACATTGGCCTTCTGGGGGCAGGTAACTAAGGTCTCAGAGCCATAGTCAGGCTGCTGATCTGTTTTTGATGAGAGACAGACCTAACTGGTCCTGTGACTGGGGAATACTGGGCGAGTACATCAGCCTCCTCAGCCCTGGCATCTCTGCTACAGTCATGATGATCATGTTATGTAAATTCCCAATAAGGAAAAAAATAGTTATTGGTAGATACAGGTCAAGATTTACGGCTGCCTCTGCCTTTTTCAGATAATGTTAATTAAAGAGTAGTTTAAGAAATGCTGCTATGTTCCTTTTCAAGGTGAGACTCAGGCTTTTTAGGTTACAAGGTGCTACAACAGTAACTGTGCCAATAATTGTACTGGGAAAAATAGGGATAGATGAAATTTATGAACTAAACTGAAGGACAGTAGTTCCTAATTTACTGAACAGTTTTGAAGATGTCATAACATTTAGGGACATGGACAGTTATACATGCATTGTGTCTTAAGTGATGGATAATGATCACTCTTTTGTATGCAAGCATTCATTTTTTTACGTACTGTAATTGTATGCAGTCGATATTATGATATGATACACTTTCCAGCCTTCAGAGGACAAATGCATATAAGCAGCATTATTACAGAGCATGGCTTCAGGGAATCCATGCCCCTAAACTTGCACATCATTAGTGAGTTTATCTTTTCAAGAGATGTACATCTAGTTACTGCTTATTCTAGTCCAACAAATATTCTTTAAAATGATTCCTCAGATTACTAGGCTTTCATTTACCTTGCACACAAATATCCCAAAGGAAGATTCTTTTATAGACAATTATTTTAAAACTTGTTTATATTTTTGAACATTCACCTAGTGTCAAATAATAATACACAGTGCTCAGTATTAGAATAAACAATCATCCTTGAAAAAATCTTTGAGAATTATTATATTTACATTATACAGGTGGGAAACTGAGGCCCAAGATTACTTTCTCAAGTATCACCCACAAGTCAGTAGCAGAGCTGGAAACATAAGAACAGACTAAAACTCCAACTATTAGTCAATTACCGCTTTCCACTTTATCAGTACAACTAATAAAATTCTCTTACAAATAGATTGTAATGAAAATATGTTATTCAATGGTATATGTAAAGAAGAATGGAAAGGAATGATTCTGAAGTAGGCAAGATGTTAAATGGAAAAGCTGCTTTTTTGAAGCACATACTCATCTATCACTAGTTAACACATTTTTCAATGTGTTTAACTGAATGTCTTCATTACAGCATTATTGCTGCCTAACTTTGCCTAAATTAATCTGAGTGAAGTGACTTCCTGTGTGCTACTTGTTACACTATCCTTTAAAAAAATGTGAAGGGTTGTGTTACAGGGTAAATAATAATATTTAAAAGAAATGCACAAACCTCTGTCATGTTCTTTTGAGTCCACCGGATGCTCCATTTTGGTGACTGTGCTGACAATCCTGATGTCAGGTAACAAAATAACACCTCTTTCAAATTGTGCAGCTGGTCTAGCAAAGTGGTCCATCCCACTTATTGTAATCTTGGGCTCATTGGCCTGAAACACCATTACATACGCATCTATATCTGGGATACTAATGCAGACATCTTCACCAAAACATCTGAAAAATATATTATTCATTAACTGCATGTAACACATTGCACATCAGAGGTGTGTGGCACTCGCACTGCCCAAACCCCATCTGATGGCTCTCATCCTTTTGTATTGTCTCAGATCAGTCTATTCCATACTTTTGATGCTGATGTAAGAACATGCAGGTGTACGACCATATACATGGGCCAGCAGTGACAGTAACAGCTCTGGTCCTCTCATCCCCTGCCATACTCGCAGCTACTGAAATTACGTAGGGACAGCCTAGCAAAGAGATTCATGACAAGCTCAGTCTTCAGTAAGGTCCCTATGAGAATAATATTTTGATGTTTAACTGACAGTTAATAAAGCAGTGAACAGTTAAAAAAAATCAAGTTAATTAGATGATAACAACTAATTGTAGTAAACCTAACATTAAATTCTCAAAGTGATACCTAATGAACATAATACGGTTATCTTGTCATGTGCAAATAAAAGGGCCTAATTATCCCTTTCAATTGGACCCATCATGAACTCATTCTGCCACCCCCCAGTATTTACTGGGGACAAAAGGGGCCTGTATTAGCATTTTCGTCTGAATCAGCACTGTTCTTTGGAAGTGGATCTCCCAACAAACTCTGCCTTACTGTATCTTGGCACAAGGCTTGAGCTAGCCTTGGTGTGTGCAAACTGGACCGCTTCCAGAAGATGCTCTCCAAACAGTATGGTCTGCCCACAGCACTAGACTAAACCTAGTACGTAGGAAGAATAGTGCAGTAGAGGAGAGTTCATGGAACTGATGTTTATTTTCACTCTAAAGATCTGCTTTCACTGCACCACACAACTTGCTGTAACAGAGACATACCCCAGGGGAGCTCAGGAGTGGTAAAAGGCTCTTTGGTTATGTAGAACTGTAAACATTATTGTGCAGGTTCTGTCACTATTGTTGCATGAAAATGGAAGGACACAAATTTCTGTTTAACACTCAGCACCAGTACTTTGGTGATAACAGCCATGTAAGGATACACACAGGTAAAGGCTATTTCAAGCATAGCTACAAATACCGTTCTTGCAGATGTTGTCTTTTGGATGTAATAGGACTGCTTTAAAAAGCCAAGGCTCTAGCTATCTCAGGAGAAACTGTAACATTTTAAAATTAAGAGTAAAATAGGAGTGCAATAAATGCAAGTACTGTTCAGTCTGGATTGTATGCTCCGAACTGTAAACAGAATGCAAGAAAAGTTTCTTAAAAGGACAATATCAAAAGAAAGCCACTATGTAAATCAGCATAAAAGTAAATAAAATTCATTCTTTATGCTCAATAACATAAAAGTATGATTTAGCGATGTAATTTAGCCAAAATTATTCTTCTCACATGTCCAAAGAAAAAAGTAATTAATTAAAAATATTCCTAATCTAATCAGTTCAGCTGAAGTACAACTTACTGGACTTTAGATGAGACTTTGAGACGTCGTACGCCTGCAGTAGGAAACTGTCTAGAGTTGATGTATGAGACCTTTCGGAGAGCTTGATTTATATTCTCAATGTCATCTCCTTCCATGACAAGGACTGACTGGGAAGGGTTGAAGTGATACTAGGGGAAATGCATATAATTAGTATTTAAGATACAAGGTACAGAGTACAAAATAAAACATTTTCAAGGAATGTTGCACAGACTTAAGTTTAAAATCTAATGATTTAAGAAAAAAAATATTCTTGTTTGTTAGCTATTGTTGGCTGAATCCACATGGTCCCTAAAACATGTACTTGTATCAGTCATCTAATTCCTAGCTGAATAACTACTGTTACAATTAATTTTATAGTGAACTCATCCTGATTTGCTGTACTTTGCCCAGCCTTTTCAACTTTGCTGATACTATTTCTGCAGCTGTAAAATTCAAAACCTTAACTTACTGTCACCATTATTATTACTGTGTAATTTTTTTTGGTTAAACACATCCCCCATATAAAAATATTGGCTTAAACCAGAGTAGCGTGCAGAGCATATTTTTCCTGCTTTCTGTTTGGTTTTACCCTGGGCTATCTTTCTGAGATACATTTCAACATGAATGAACAAAACAATTATAACATTTCCTTCCTACATCTTCATTAATGTCAGACACAATAAAGGGTATTCTCCTGTCTCTGTCTCATGATCAATAAGGGCGTCATGATTTAAGATGGAGCTGCTACTTGCACAAAGCCAGCTGCTCATTTGAGCCAACAAACCGTGCACAGTCACCGGCTATTCTTGTAGCCCCGATCTTTCTCTAGTACGTTGCACTGAACAGAAAACAGTCTTGCTGACCAAGAAACTTTGCTACTATATCCACATAGCACGTGATTGATTTTATCTTCATCATAATTCATCCTGATGCCATTTTTTTGGTGTGGTAATTGGTTCAGCAAACCATCTGCATCGCAAAGAAAACCAGATTAAGCCCCTTGATTTGGTACCCTACTGTTGTCAGCACAAAACACTAAGAAATGCACCCTCCTCTCACACGCAGTCCCCAAAGCTAGATATTGATTATATGAACATGTTCTATTATACACAGACAATGGTTGTCTACACTTCCTTACAATGAGAAAGGTTAAAAAGCAAAAGAGCAAATAGACTGTGAAGAGCAGAATGAAGCACCAGGTTCTCTGTTGAACAGAACATGACGGACTGGGTTTAAAGCTTGTGCAAGAAGGTCATAACACACTGGAGGGTATTTTTTAACAAAGAGGAGGACTAACATGAGTCACAGCCTGCATACACTTCTTTCTCCTTTATATAAGCTAGCAGTAGTAGAGAATAAAATTAGCAAAAGGAGACTCTAGCTAGTTAATAGCTCAGCTGCCAGAACAGCTGGAATGCTGCCAAAGGGACTGGAGAAAGCCCTAGTCTGAGCCATTTTTGTCTTTCTCATTAAAAAAGGCTAAAAATAGCGACAGTTTAGACAGTGTTTCTGAGACTTGTCACAGATATCTCAAAATTAGGCTGCAGACACAAAAAAGACAACACTACTGTCAGAAACTGTATTACAACTGCATTGCTCTTTCTTAGGTGGCTAAAGGGTGAAGCGTCATGAGTCCAAAGTGCCCAGCAGAAACACCTTCCACCATCAGTTTGCCTACACTGAACCTGCTAAGCGCCATGTAAATAGCCACCCAGAAGCTACCATCTGTGCAACTGTCACACGTGCTATTCTGAGATCAGGTATGTTTATTTTTGACACCGGAAACACTTTCTCTTTATTAATCTTCTGTTCAAGGTCAGGTGCCAACTGTTCCGCTTTCATCTGAGCTTCTTTCTGTCAGCGCCAATAAGAAACCCCACCACAATCTCTGACTGCTCTTTTCATTTTTGCCTCCTGCTGTTGCGCTGACTGTTGAGCTGGCTGAGGAAGTAAAAATGAAAGCAGTAACTTTAAAAAAACACTATGCCTCACCTGTATTTCAGAAAATGAAAATGTTTTGAAGTCTGGTGAAAGAAAGAAAAGGAGGAAAACAATCCCTCATCTTCATTTTCCCCACTGCACTGCTAGCACAGTTAAATAGCCACGCTGGAGCAACAGTATAACAGAGATTTTTCCAAGTCCATGAAAAAGCAGACTACTAAAATATTATCAAATTTCAGGTTGTGACAATAGGGAAGGAAATATTATGCTATTAACCACCATGGACCATGTGCACACTGCTTTAATTCATTCAAAATCCGAACGAAGAACTTACTGGTAGGCATATACACCCATGTTCCGGAAAATCCTACATGCTCTTTGTATGCATTGTCTTTTGAAAATAGCTTTTACACATAAGTGTGTCATGTTGCTGAGAGAGGCAATGATGTGAAATTCTTAATGATGTCCTGGTATGATGAAGGAAAAAAAATAATCTTTGGGGTGTTTTGCTCATATGTAAAAGCTAGAACTATCAAAATTCCTGCTTAACTTGGCACTTTCCATTTTCATTTTTACCATTGTTTTCAGAAAGATATCAGTTATACTGCACCACTGTAACTTATCACCTAGACAAACATTTGAGTGAATTTCAGATCGGTCTCCTATCTTGTAAAATGAAAAGGTTTAGCTAATAAAATGTAGTACCTGGCACTGCCACTGCATGCTCTAGATCAAGTGTTAGAGCACCATCCTCCTCCCCACTGAAAAACCACCTGGGCAGTTTCACAGGATGCATAGTCTGCGGCGAAAGTATCTTCCCCGTTTGAATTTGAAGCTCAGCTCTTTTGGAAGACGGCATTGTGAATTTGTGTGCTAGGAAATAGCTTCACAGTGTGTTTACATATTAGGCAGAAGAACACCTGTCATCTAATAACGGTATCAGTAAAGGAAAGCTGACAATGCATCTCATGTAAGTATTACAGAAGTTATAGTCATGATCCTACATATGTATCTAAAAGAACAGAATTTGTCTTAACAAATGCAAAGCCATCTAGCCACTATGTCAACTGAAACAGGATTTCGCTTCGTTGCTCTCCAATCTTAGAAAAAGTGCTACAATATCAGTAAAGATAGTCATATGGATAATGATATGCAAATGTAAAATTTTAGTTTCTTGACTTCAGGTTTTTTTACTGTCCAGTTTTCATGTCCCATACCATTTTCCTCTTGGAACACACTTTGAATTTTCAATATTATTGCATTGGGACTTTCGGAGTTGCCTCTAGGTGACAGATATTCCACTTATGTTCTCCAGTGCTTTAAAGCTACTTCAGATCAAAATTCAGTAATTCTTTGGAATCATGTCTATTTCTGTAAAACTACCAAAAATAAGCATAAGAACATGACCTGGCAATTCTTATGGACTCTGAAATACCTTACTTTCTCAGCATCTAGCTTTGCGATAATGGAAACATTTTTCTTTGCAGTGTCACAGCTCTTCTACTGTTCCACTTTTTCTTTGCATGACTTTATGGGAAATTACATTGCTTCGAGGAGTACATTTGTACTGTGTGTACTCTACCTTGGGCTCTCCACTTCATAAATCAGCTCTAAATTTTTATCAAAGATTATGTCAGTTCATCCCTCACCTTTATTCCTTGGCCAAGACTCTCAAGAGAATTAATATCCAGACCTTCCTTGCAGGCCTGCAAACAGGAAATCACTTTCTGGCTCTCAATTTTGCCTGGCCGGATAGTAAGACTGGCCAAGCTGCCATGGAAATACTGAGCAAATCTGGGCTTGGTGACTTCACCTCCTGGAAGAAAGAGAATACAAAATGATTATTGATACCAATACACAAACCACACATCTAATAATTCACTTCATGTTTTAACATATTTAAAGAATTTATATCCATTTTAACCAAGTATATTTGAGATCCCATTTATTGTGATAAGTGGAATTGCTTTGTGGGTTGTTGGGTGGTACCTAGCAGCAGTTTGATTGTCAGTGTTTTTCCAGTATTGTATGCAGGTGTTTATAAAGTTGTGATAACATATTCTGAGATGAAACACAGCTTCCCAAATCTATGTCCAAGGAAGCACAGCATTTTCAAAAATGAATTGATGACATTATTGGAGTGATCAAACATGAATTCCAAAAAACATTTAAGGTCTGATGTTTATTTATACAGAAACTGTATTTTCAAGTTTTCTATTACAAGATCACTTACACAGCCTTTGCCTTTCTCCTCCAAAAAGCATACCACCTGAAGTTCTTAGATGTGCTAAGAATCACGGCTCTGTGTAAGCAAACTGCCACACTCTCTACACATGGCTGTCTCTAAGGATATGGTGCACATTCACAGCAGTGACTGCAGGCCAAAGCACAGCCCCGTGCTGAAAGAAAGGCTTGTGGTTCTTCCCTTACCCAAAGTAGCTCATTTGGTGCCAGATGAGGTCCCGTCACTGTATGTTGCATTAGGCCCTCTAGCTACGCTCTATTCAGTTTCACTCTAGGCAGCTTCAAAGGAAGACTGATCTTTAGGAGTTGTCAATAAAATGTGATTACATACTGCCCGCACCAGTGATCATCGCATCTAAATTACTCTTGGGATATTTAGTGATTTACTCATCCTCTTCTAGGTGAATTTTTAGAGCTTGTCTTTGCTGCAAGTGTTAGCTGTATCACTGCATGTGAATTAGTACCTACCTTCAGCCTGAGAGGACTAAGAGAGCCACGCAACAGTGAAGCCGTGCAGACTAATTGGATTAGCAGTTGATAAGCTGTTGTAATTGGTAGATAACTCATCTCTACAGTGTTTGTAGCTTTAGTGTCAAACAATTTATTTCTGCCAGGCAAGCCAGCTCAAGCTTGAACTTTAACTTGAAGATTTGTGTACGGATTGGGGTTAGGACAGGGATGAAGTGGCAAATTTTCTTTTGGCTGATGTTGTTACCTAAAAGCCTGAAAAACATCACTTTAATCTGTGCCGTATAAGCACTATGAAGAAGTCTTGAGCTATTTTATATAGTGAAGAAAATACACACTGGTGTGCTGAGAGAAAAGAAGGTGCCTAAGCAGGCTGTTTCTTTACAGAAATAGTCAGGTTTTGTTCATTTTTTGTTAACATTGCAGCACAAACTGCCTCTCTTTTTACCCCAAAGATCCTCAAGGAGAGATTATTCTTGTCTACTTTCATTTGTTTGTCTGTTATACAGAAAACTTTCTCTGGGCACAATTTTTTTGAGGTTTCATAGAAACTTTCATGTATGCAACAGATAAAGTGCAGAATTAGTTTGTACTGTAATTTCAACCTTTCTGAGACTTACCAAGGCAACTATTTGGTGCATTATGGGCACCTTGGCTTTTCAGCAAAAATGTTGTTATATTTATCTGTTTACATTGTCATTAAAAGTACATGTTGGGAATAATACAGCAGCAATGTGTCTGGATAGAAAAAGGTTAAGCCAAATTTAAAAAAAACATAATGCAAACCTCTCCCTAAAAAGAAGACGAAGAGAGACAACCAGGTAAGAACTTACAGAAGGGAATCACATGGTGCTTTGAAGCTTCAAATTCTCATGTCGCTAACAGAATTCCGAAGACAGCAAATTCAAAGGCTAAAACACCAACACTAATCCCAGAGCTTTGAGATTTAGAAACCTACAGTAAGTCTGCCAGTAGATCTTAATAGTTCTGAGGAGATGCAAAATAAGAAGCAGCCCCAGATAACCTAATGTATTTAAATGTGAAACTAGCTCATTAAAATGTATATAGGACTAGACAAGAAGCTAGAACAAAGAATTCAGTGCTGTGGTATGCCTGGCAGAAACAAGCAGGATAAACCAGTTGAAGTAAAGCTATAGAGCAACATGACTGGTGCTTACATACATGAATAGGAATTTCAGGTTTGGATTTTTTTTTTTATTAGTTGTTCTTTCACTTTGGACTAGTTCTTCTCTGGTGTCATTGACAAAGCACTTACAATTACATTGCTAGGTCATTTACAATGATACAGTCATATGCGCCCAACCACTAACCCAAAAGTATGGAAGAGAATATGAGCGTTTCCAGGAATAAGCTTTTAAAATGCTCTGCAAATACAGGCACTACAAAACACTGAGTATCTGAAGAACTTACCCTGTTCACAAGGCTAAGGTTGGGTTTTGTGCAGATGTATAGACTGATTTTGGACTGTAAAGGAGGTGATGTAATCTTTGTTATGGAGAGGCTATCAAACGCTATGTGAAAAAACCAAGTATTTCAAGAAAACGTGAGTGAAAAATAGCCAGGACTAGCTAGTCTCATATTGCGTCACTAGAGAAAATCTGCAAAACTATGCCCATGGTTATGCCAGGGTGATTCAGGCTGGGACAATTGCACTAGAACAAGTGACAGCAGAGTCTGCAGGGACACTGAGGGATGATACAGTCTGTCCCCTAGCCCCAAGACAAGAACATCTCTACTTAATCCATTCTTGAGAATTGCCTGAGCTGTTCTAAGCTCCTGTGAAGACAGTGGCTCCCCAAGCAATCCACTCCAATGAGCCAGTGCATCCTTAGAGTCGCAAGTTTATTCCTCATAGGGAATGCGAGCTGTCAAAACATGGCCACACTTTCCCTTTTCCTTTGTCAGGCTAAACAAGGCCTTTTCTTTACACCTTCTACCTAACATTGTAAATTATGATTATCCCTGTTGCTTTTCTTGGAACGCCTGCTATTATCTGAAGTACTAACCATAACCTAGCGTACTTCTCAACTTTATATGCGTTTTACATAGGACATGTCTGTTAATCCAGGACAGTGTGAATACTAGCTTCTCCACATGAAAAAAACATGAGCACTTAAAGAATACTATCTCGTACTTTATTAGAAAAGATAGACTGCTAAATAAGCCTTCCATAAGCATCTTTTACCAGAGTTAAAGACAAAATTATATACCTGCCAATTTTATCCTCGAAGGTGAACAAAAGTCATTATATCTGACTCTTATCACAGCTGCTTGTAATTGCAGCATGTTGACATTTTGATATTCTTCTAACTCAGCATTTCAGAATCTTCTCATCTTAGTGGGGTATGTTAGCTTGCGGATGTTTTTAGATTGCCAGTAATTATTAGATTGCAAATGGACAAAATCCAATGCAATAAAATCAGGATGCGAAACCCAAACCCCTCGCTATAATTGAAGGAATGGCTTAAAGCCAACCTGCTACAGTCCTATATTCTAGCTTTGAAAAAAGGGATTACTGGGAATATAGTATTTCACTCTCAAAAAACGTAAGAAGAAAAAAAGGTCAGAATAAATTGAAAATCCTCGGCAATTGGATGTTTTACTCCTGTCTGTATCAGTGTTTTATTCATGCTTGGTTCTACTATAGTAGTATGTTTGAATGCTGTCTTTCCTTCTGCTTCTGCAATCTAATATTCTTCAAGTATTTGACCTCAGCTTCTCAGTGGGTGCAAATTCAGCCCAAGATGGCCAATCTCCAAGTCCTAGTCACTCCAAAATTCTTCGCTCCCAAGATTAGATGAGTATAAATATATTTAATCCAGCATGAAAATGGTAATTCTGTAGCATATTAAAGCACAGTGTGTAATTGTAGCTAATGCTGATAGTAACATTTTTAGACTATTATCCAAATTCTTCTAAATACTGATCTTTTCAAATAGAGATCCTTTGACCCTGAGCACTATACAAGTCATGCCTGTGCAGCTCCACATGCAGCTGATGGGCAGCTCAGAGCCACTGGCTTCATTGGGCAGGAGGAATGCCCAGTTCCATTGGCTGAATTGGACTCATCACCAAAATTACCACCTGCTAAGAAATAACTGAGGAAAAGGCATAAGCCCCTCCCGACACCTCTTACTACTTTAACACTTTGAACTCAACTCTTGGTTCTGACACCAAACTGAGCCTAAGCAACAATATTTTTGAAACAATGAAGACCTAAATAGATTACACAAGCCTTTGGAGCAACAATTCAGAGACCAAAGTGAAGCTCCAGTGATGATGATCTTGAGGTAATCCAAGCGTCCTAAAATTTTTTCTACTTCCCAATGTTGTGGTGTGTGAAAAATAAAGTGTTTTGTAACACAGCCTCTGCCAGTTTCTATCCAGAGGTCAGGCCACCCAGCTAACCTCGACTGCAAGCAAGTTTTGTGGGATTTTTTGCTGTCAGGGTCTTTATGCCCTTTCTTGTACAGCTCAGATACAGCTCACCTCCCCAGTGATGTTAGAGCATCAAGACCTGAGAGAATAAGAAAACCTACTCCTCAACTTGTTACATGTGTTTCACTCAGCTCTATGTTTATCGATTACTACAGATTAATATGCTGTGAGTGCTAATTCTTGGGGGATAGTCAAGTACTTAAGACATAGCTGAATGATGCAACCAACACAGGAAAACAGAACCTTCCCTGCTGTCAGTCAGAGAATTAGGTTGATGTCTGCAACACAAAAAAGACTGAAACAGCACTATAGAACAACATCACTTATTCTAATTACAGACCCTTGCATGACAAATTTTTGAAGCTACTGTTTTTTTCCCATGCTTAATTTAAATGTTGTGGTCACCATTACAGTTGTGAGACAACACAAGCCACAGTATTATTCAGACATCAATGATAAAATTACATATTACTTTTTCCACCTGACCCAGCATGCGCATCCACTCCCAAAGTCCAGCAGATACAGGAGGATGGATGTTGGTGTTTTGGCATTAATTCAGTCCTCATAATGGGAAGATGGTGTCAACAGACCGCGGGAGGCATCCAGAGGAACTGTCGACGTACATAAGTATTCACTATAATGCTG